ACGAAGAATTGTAAGCCCTTCCTGGGAAAAAAAACCTGAATACGCCTCTCTTAATATCTTTAAAACTATGTCTATTTCTCAACGACTGCTCTCTTATATCTTTAAAACTAAGTCTTACAGTTCTTAACCACTCTTAATTATCTGTCAAAATACAAAAGTGGAGACCAAGAGATATATTTCGAAGATCTTCATTTTTCGGTATCACAAATTGTGCATTCTTTGTTTTACAGATTATGCTTGCAGGCATTATTGTGTTGTCTGAAATCATTTATTGTGCAGTAAAATGGCTAAAATTCACTTCTGAAATCTTAATTTACGTTAACTTATATTTCAGTTAAATACAAATTCTAAGTCTGTGATTGTAAACAAAGGGAGTCCAGTTTCTGTTGTACTGTACACTCCGTATACAGACCAATTTATATATATATACATATTTCTAAATACTTGGGACATAAAATGTCGTCATCCAACTATGAGTTTGGTCCACTTTAGTATTCAATCACTTTGAATTCAAGGCCCCTCTCAGAATCATGAGTCCGCATAATGATCCTAGGTACGGATACTCTACAATATATCAATGAATGTCTTCTATATACTGGTTATATTGGCCTGAAATATAATCATATTGAAAATTTGCAAAATGGCATTTCTAACAGTGAAGGAAGACAACAAATTGCCAGTTTAAAGTGGGCCAAAGCATATTCAATTGAACTAAATTCCACAGTGGTCTATTTTAGGCTCTTGACTTTTTACAATTCTTATAAATGACCTTCCATATAAGTCAATTTTATTACTTTAATTATAGCTGATGATACAATCTTTCAATTAAGGCAATTGCTAAGACAAACCGTGAACTTGAAAAAGCGTCAGTTTGGTTTTAACTTGTGTTCAGACCAAAAACGCAAAAAATGAAATCTGGATGTCTTTTACATTCAAAATTGATAGATTTATAGACAATCTTTAAACTAAATCATTTAAGTTCTTTGGAAACCCTATAACGTAATTTGGTCAATCTTTATAGGAAGGGGGAGAGATGGAATGTACAGACAGGACGGTAAAGAGCAAGGACATGTGCAGACAGGAAGGTACAAAGGAAGGACATGTACAGAGAGGAATGTAGAGAGGAAGGACATGTACAGAGAGGAATGTAGAGAGGAAGGACATGTACAGAGAGGAAGGTAGAGAGAAAGACATGCAAAGAGAGGAATATAGAGAGGGCGTGTACAGAAATAAATGTAGGGGGGGGGGGCAACATTTTGTTGTCCCCCCCTCAGATCTTCTAGGGGGGGAGGGGCAAAATTTGTACCGTAGATTCAAAACATTTGGCTTATTGGATACTTTAAAGGTACACATACACTTTACACTATACAGTCCAATCACCATACAAGGACTACTTTATCTCTCCATCAGACGAAACTAGCAGAAAAAAATAGCAAATTAATGTTTTTAATACTCTTCACTCTTCATTTTTCGTGAGCGAACAAAATAAGATAAAACTCAACAATTGTTTGGCAAATATTTTTTTTTGCTTGAACCCTACTGATAATGGAATGGATATTTAGTGTGTTAACAAATAATTGTATAATTTTTTATTGAAAAGTTGCCAAGACGACATTTTATAAATTTATTCAAAGTTACATTGTAGAAAATTTGAAAGATTTTCAATCTAAAAAAATGAATGTCATTTTGAATTTGATGGATAATGGAATGGATATTTAGTTTATTTCTTGAATAATCATATGGAGAATAATTGTACAAACCTATTGAAAATTGCCAAGACGACATTTTATAAATTCTTTCGATGTTAAATTGTAGAAAAATTTAAAAGATTTTCAATCTAAGTAAAAAAATGTAATTTTGAATTTAATGGATATTTAGTTTCTTTATTGAATAATAATATGGAGTATAATTGTACAAACCTATTGAAAAATTGCCAAGACGACATTTTATAAATTCTTTCGATGTTAAATTGTAGAAAAATTTAAAAGATTTTCAATCTAAGTAAAAAAATGTAATTTTGAATTTAATGGATATTTAGTTTCTTTATTGAATAATAATATGGAGTATAATTGTACAAACCTATTGAAAAATTGCCAAGACGACATTTTATAAATTCTTTCGATGTTAAATTGTAGAAAAATTTAAAAGATTTTCAATCTAAGTAAAAAAATGTAATTTTGAATTTAATGGATATTTAGTTTCTTTATTGAATAATAATATGGAGTATAATTGTACAAACCTATTGAAAAATTGCCAAGACGACATTTTATAAATTCTTTCGATGTTAAATTGTAGAAAAATTTAAAAGATTTTCAATCTAAAAAGATAAATGTCATGCATTTTGAATTTAAACAATTTAATAAGTTAATACCAATCCTGATATTTGTTTCTAATATAGATAAGGGTGGAGTTTTTTCCATCCCCTCCCCCTAGGATTTTGCCCTTAGAGTAGAGAAAGGGGACTTTTTAGGTATTCCAGGCCAGCCCTTGCCAGCTTTGAGCACTTTAGCGAATGTGGTTTTTGAGTTATAGAGAAAAAAAACATAGGGGGTGGACAAAATTCCTATTCCCCCCAATCGTAATAGGGTTAACAATCTCAATAAAACATACGTAAAATCTAAACAAATTTTTAAACTACCTTTTTGTAAACAGTTGAATTTTGTTATGATTATTGTAACAATTTTTTCATAAAATATTTTTTACTTTTATGTATAGTTGCTACATGGTTTTACTACTTTATTACTATGAAATATATATAAACGTATATATATATAGCAATAACTAGTCCTACATAAATTCAATATTAACAAAAACTTCCCCCCCCCCACACACATTAAAAAGTCTGTCATCTTTACAGGATAAGTCGTATTGTGGGTGAAATCCTTGAACTTCAAGGTCTTCTGTATCATCGTGGTTGTATTGCGTGCGACACACAGAGTGTCCTGAAATCTGATAAACGGGGTGTCGATGTCCCACATCAATTTGGATTGTTTGCGGCTCTAAATTGCGATTTTCGGGACGTTCTGTCTAATTACCAAAATGAAAATATGATATCGTCTTTGATCATTAGAAATTGACATGACAAGCTTGGTGTGGGAGGGGAACATGTATAACCAAAAATCTAAATTTTGATTGACCGAGTAACGCTACAGGAAAATTTAATTTAAAAATCAAAATGAAAGGGCTAGAAGGTGCCAGCTCTCTCTACTTTCTCCAATTCTTCAGGTGGAACCGTGGAATGTCCCCTATTAAGACCTATACAACTCCTCCATGGTAACCACCTAATAGAAAAGCAAGCATACTAAAATATTACACCTTTTTTTGTTCATATCAATAGCTCATCAAAAAAAAGTTGTTTTGTTTGAAAACTTCAAGCAACTAAAAATTAAATAAACTGTAGATTAACCTATTTTTAAAAAGCCCTTGATAAAAGCTGGGTTTAACATTGCATATAAAGTGATTCTGTTTAAAGTACAAGTGGCCTGAGCTTGTATTCCGTGCTGCGTGGTAAAATGAAGTATGGCTCCATGTCTAAGTTACGATTTTACTCACAATCTTTGTAATATTTGTGTACGAAACATCTATTTGAACCTACAGGGTGTCCCAAAAAACATGGGAATTCAGTGACGAATTCGATATCGTCTTTGTTATGAATTAGCATTGTAATACCTAATTTCAAAAGCCAAATTCGTCACTGAATTCCCATGTTTTTTGGGACACCCTGTATATAAACTTGACCTATATATATGTACTTGGTGACTATCTGACCGTTTGTAACCAAACTTCAAACCCAAATCGGGCCAAATTTTGTTTGTCAAGACACATGACCCCAGGAAGATCAGAATTTTTTTTAAATCCATGCAAAAAATTAATGAATTAAGAAAAATTCACACAGAAAAAATTAAAATCTGAAACGAAGTAGTTATCTATATATATACTTTGCTTGTCATGGATCATGGTGTCTGTCTGTTTTTTTTGTATCCAATATACGTCAAAACGGCTGAACCGATCGGGCCTACATTTGTTGTGGGACCTCGCGTGACCCAAGGGAAGATTTATGGATGATCAAGTTTTCATTTTTTTTGTTTTTGTTTTATACTGTACAAATCGAAGATGCTCACTGACAGATAAAGCCACTGTTAAAAATTGAAGATGGACGCCTAAAAGCCTAGTGTTAAATAATTTGGCACAAAGTTTAAGAAAGAAGTTTTTTGCTTTGTGGGGAACCTTGTAAGTTAAATGCAATGTCATTTTATTTGGTCCAGCCTGTTTTTAAACTTATTTTATGTGTTTTAAACCCTATTGTCATTGTTTGCATAAGGATTTTATATTGAAACAGGACTGACCATACATTTTAAGGAAATATTTAGAACAAATTCTAAAAACATTCTCGATGCACGGTTGTTTTCATGTTTGTTACTAAACTTTCGATTTTTTAAAAGGAAACTTGTTTATTAAGGGTGCCCGGTGGTCGGGGGGGGGGGGGGGGCAAAGG